CATATTCTTCTTACCCAAGTTTAGCTTTGGAAAATTATGACAACAATTTTTTTTTTCATAGATTAACGTGTATATATGTTGCTATATAACGTTGTTTGTTTATTTTATATATATATATTTAATCATATCAATTTTTTACATAATAAAATATGTATCTCTCATTTAAAGGTCTAAAAATATATTTACATCATATAAAAAATACTTACAAATCATTTAAAATTTAAAATTTTATAATAATCTTACAGTTACAACCGAACCAATCATGTTTTCACCTTTAAAAAATCATAACCAAAATCCTACAGCTACAGCAAAAAAGTTTACAGTCAAAGTTCTACAGCAAAAAATCTAAAGTTACAACCATTATCAATCGAGCCCATATATAAACAAAACTTCAAAAAATTTGGGCCGCAAGCATGGGTTTGGCAATGATTCTAAGACCATATATATTGGTGGGTTTCTCAAAAAAGTTTCTCAAAAATAGAAAATTAATATTTTTAAATAATTAAATTTTAATAAAAATTGAAATATGAATCATTCACAGAGAAACACATATGCAAAAGTTTTTCATCAAAGATTTCTCAAAACTCTCATTTGAGAACTATATCTCACTCTCTCTCTTAGCTTTTTTTTATTATTATTTTTAATAGTAAAAGACTCAATAAGAGACTACCATTGAACATGCTCTTAAAGCAACACAACTATTTTTTCGCCAATATGCATATCAATATAATCTTCGATAAAAATATATATTTGTTTATGAAGTAAATGTTACGATCGATAAATCATACTAAATTGTTTTGGAACATCTTGAACTATTTTAGTTGAAATTCCACTAAACCTGAAAATATAGATGGTACTTTATACCAAAAAAAAATATATATGTCACAAATAAACATGGACTCAACTCAAAAACAAGAAATCCTAGAATCTAACATGCTTTTGTTTATAAACACCCAACCATCAATTTATATGTGAAATTCTAACATCTTTAAATCGTTAGAGATAGAAGAAGAAAAAATATACTTCTAATCAAAATGTATAGCTCTTCTTTTCCATTTGAAATCTCATTCTTTCTCATCGGAATCTCTTCATTTCTTTTGGAACCGCTAACCTACTTTCTTCCTTTTTCCCTTAGACAAACCTCTTCATGAG